TCCCCGCAGTTATAAACGTCTCTCTTAGAATTGAGTTTAATATGTCCCAGTGACTTTGTTGTGTTATGTTTTTATTTTCACTTAATTCCAGGAATTATTTCTTTCTTGATTCTTCTTTGACCCATTCATCATTCATTAGTGTATTGTTTACTCTCTATGACTTCATATGTTTACTAGAGATTCCTTTGCTGTTGATTTTAAGCTTTATTTAAATGTGGTCTGATAGGAGTTATTTCAATTTTTCCATAGTTTTTGGAGATTTATTTTGTGTCCCAATATGTGGTCTATTGAGAAACTTCCATGGGCTGATGAGTAGAATGTGGATTCTTTGCATTTGGTGGAATATTCAGTAGATGTCTATTTGGGCCATTTGATGTGTGATGTAACTTAATACCAATATTTCTGGGTTTTTGTCCAGATGCTCTATCTATTGGAGAAAGTAGGGTGTCAAGATCATCTCCTATTACTGAATTGGGGTCAATATGTGTCTTAAAGCCCAGTAGATCACTTTTCAGTTGCAGTATACATCCAATGGACTTAACAGACATCAATAGAATACTCAGTGCAATGGTTATGGAACACACATATAGTTCTAAACAGCTCCTGCACATTGTCTAAAATGCATAGCATTTTGGGATATAAAACTAGTCTTCATAGTTACAAAATTGAAAGAATTTGTTGTGCTTTTTCAGATACAGTGGCATAAAATAGAAATTAATAGCATAAGAAACTTTATAAACTACCTAAGTAAGTGTATCAATAAAAAATACACTACTACAGAAATCAGGAAGGAAAGTAATATACTCAAGTCAAAAGCCACATGAGTATCTCAATCTGTGGACCAATAAACTGCAAGAAAGTTTCATATCCATTCATGACAAACCCCTAAAAAAGTCACAGAAGAATCATATTTGAACATGAAGTGTGTGAAATATAACAAAGCTATAATGAATAATATAATAAATTTAGAAAACTAAAATCATTTTTTCTAAATTTAGAAATAAAATAAGATTGTCCATTCCCTCACTCACACATAACTGGTGTTTGGTTTCTTCATTCCTTACTCAGATTTAAGCCTTACAAAGGGAATCTCTGGTCCAAACACTTGGGCCTGGTAAGGGTGGCTGATCATTAGGCTGCATGCTTAGGAAGCTAGAAACAGGAGAGCAAGGAAGGCCTGCCATGAAAGTGAGCCAACAGTGAGCCTCTGGATGTTCAAGTTGGGCCACGTGACCTGGGGGCTTGGTGAAGGCCCCAGCCTGCCATCTGGCCAGGGGGCATAACCACCAGTGTTTTCTGTGCTCTGCTGCCCACAAGCTGTCACTTTTCTAAATAGAAAAAGGCATTATTTTTATTTACTTTTTGTAAAAAAAAGTATCCCGTGTTCTGTTGGTGTTCAGGGTGGTCCTGTTTCTGCAGTGTGCACAATAATAGATTCATACTGCTGACCTGTCCTCTGCGGCTTGGGTGGGCTGTACACTGAGGATCAGCTTACATAGCACATTGCTTGTAACAGTGCTAATAAAAAGTCTCCTTCTAAAAAAAAGAATTCTAAAATCTTGTTGGGAGCCAAAAGGCCAGAAGAAAAACATCTTTATGGCAGCTTCATGGTTTCCTGCACATGTTTATGGCCTTGAGAAAAAACAGCTTTAAGGTTTCCTGCACATCTTTATGGCCTTGAGAAAAAACAGCCTTATGGTTTTCTGTAAGTTTCTATAAGTTAGCACTTAGTTAAAGAATGTAGAAAAACAACTTGTGACCCAGGTCAAGTCAGCCTTGAGAAATGTTTACTACCGATGCTAGTCCTGGGAAAATGTTAACCACATGCCCTCTCAGACAAACCCCTCTGCCCCTCTTTGACAATTAGCCCTTAGTGGAAAATCCCACCAGAGCCCCTCTTCCTTTTACTCTATTCCCGCCTTCCACTCCCCCCACCCTGAGCCCACTATAAATATATGCTGTGTGTATTCAATAAACGGAGCTTGATCAGAACACTGTCTTGCTCCCTTTCTTCGTGTTCCTTGTTTGTCATTCTTTCTAGGACCTCTCCCGACCCCCCCCCCAACATTGAAGCCCCGCAGGCTGGGGCAAATCTTAATGTAATGTTTAATTTCTTTTTTTATGACACTTATTAAATGTTATCAAATCTAACAAAAACATCTATTTACATACTAGTCAGTATCCTTAACTAAAAATATAATTCAATAAAACCATATGCATATAAACCAGCACCCTTAACTAAAAATACAGTTCAGTTTGTGATTGCACTTTATGTAGATAAACTACTCATAACATTTTAGACTAAAGATTTCCTTTTAAATATACAATATTTGTATTAATATCTTGAAACTTTCACACATGCACACAGTGTATTTTGAGTGTACTTACTACCCCTTTCTCCCTTTAATTCCTCCCAGATCTACCTGCACTTCCAACTCCCTCCCAACTTCAGCTCTTCTTTAATAACCCATCTAATCCAATACTTCCATGGGTATAGAACTGCCCATTGGATTTTGGTTGACCTGCCAGGAGTCACTCCCTTAAAAAGAATGGACTCTGCCTTCCTCAGAAGCTATCATCTGTTAATATCTACTCATCCCTCCATGCTGGAATGTTGATTGGCTTGATCTTGTGCAGGTCTTGTTCAGACAGCCACAACCAATGTCAGCTTATGAGTGCATTAGTCCTCTCACGTCCAGAAGACATGGTTTTTCTCTAGTTCTCCACCATCTCTGGCTCTTATAATTTTTCTGCCCCCCTCTTCAATGATAGTCCCTGAGCTTTGAGGAGGTGATGTGATAAACATGTTCCATTTGTGGCTGAGCACTGCACAGACACATATTCTCTGTGCTTTGATCAATTGCAAATTTTTTGTGTTAACCACAGTCTACTACACAAATAATCTACCCTGAGGAGGCCTGAAACCTGGACGTACCTGTGGATATAGAGTTATGAATTTAGAGGGTGGTTTGATACTTATATCCATTTAGCAAACTACTTGTGCTAGGTTCACCACTTGAGACTTTGAGTTTGCAGTCATGGGTTCTCAGCCAGATTTACAATACCAGGCATACATTTTCTCCTGTGGAGCAGGCCTTACATCCAACTGGAAAGCAGCTGGTTACACACAAAACATTCTTGCCACAACTGCACCCACAGGCATACACAAGCATTCCCACAACCTGGGAAACCTAAAGCAGGTGGAAGTAAAAGGGAAGGGATGACAACTAACCAGTAAAAGACAGAGAGAGAAGAAAGAGGCAGACAGGGAGACAGAGGAAGAGAAAAGGTGGGGTGGTGGGGATTGCGGTGTGCAGTGCCAGCCCAGTCCCCTGGGGAGGAGGGTGGGGGGGCAAGGCAGTGGCTTCTTGCCAACAGGCCCCACCCAGGTGGATGAGTTGGGGTCTAGTAAGAGATGCTGGCCATCCCCTAGGAGGCACCCTGAGGAGTGAGAGTGTAGGCCCATCTCACCCACCACCTGGGAAGCCTAAAGCAGGTGGACGTAAAAAGCCCTTGCTCCACCCCACCGGCCAAGGAGGCCAGTGGACTTTGCTGCACTGAGCGGCACTGGGGGTACGGAGTGGGGGGATGGGCGGTGGGGTCGCCAGTGCGGGGAGACTCCTGTGGCGGTGGGGCCCGGCAGAGGCACTGGCCGGTTGTAGGGCAGCAGGGCGTCGGTGCCCCGCCAGGCGTTGGCGGCACTGAGATTAGACACAGGCCAGAAGCTCGGAGAAGTGAGGTGCAGTGCCTAGCTGGCCTCCGGAAAGGCCCCCAAAGGGGTCGGACGGCTGGCCGAATGGCAGGTCCCAGGCGGGTGGGGATGGATGCCCCTTGCTCCTTCCTCCTGGGCACGTCAGGTCTCTGCATGGCCCAGGGACTGAGGGCGGGGTCGCCCTGCTGGCTCCTGAGAAGGGATGAGGGGACACGATGGAGGCTTCCACCCAGCCCTACACAGGTGTCCGTGTGGATTCAGGCCGAGGAAAAGTTGTCCTTGGGAGAGGACATA